GCCAGCCGTGCCACGCCGGCGGATCTGGAGAGCAGGAGCCCTCCCCTCAGCCTGGCTCAGCACCCATGAGTAGGTGGATGCAGTTTCTATTTTTCGGTCCCGATCTTTGGGTTGTTTCTTCATTAATGTCACATTTTCTCTTCCCATAAGCAAAATGCTACTTGCTTAAAACTCATTTTCTCCTTGGCATCCTTCCAGGTGTCAGCTGTGCTTCCCTGCTGATATCTTTGTATTTCTAAGGCATTATATGGAGCCTGAGACTTGGTGAACGCTGGGGGCCGAGAGCTGCCTTGGTAGCAGGGCTAGCGTAGACTTATCCACCACAGCTTGGGAAGAGCAATCTGCTCTTAATTACTCCAGTGCTGAGGCTCCTAAAGAGCCTCACTAATGCCCTTGTTTCCAGCATTGTCTCCTATTCTAGTCTTGGGCTGCTGCTCAGAGTAGACTGAACTAGTGGTTTTGTACTGGAGACGGATCTCTTAGGGAATGGGATGAGATCCCACACTCATTTCAGCTGTGGTCCAAGGCAGAGTTTAGACCCTGCATCTCCAATGCATTTTGCCACCAAGCCTGGTTCGGTTTGGAGGCATTGCTGGAGACAGCCAGCCCGGCACCCTAGGGTGCTTGAGGGCAGGGTCCGGCCAGGGGATGGCTCAGCCCCCAGCTCAGGGAACCGCTGCAGCCAGCGGGTCAGGATTCCCATGCCTGGGGGAGCAGGGACATGAAAGCAACCTGACTTCCACCTTCTACCCCAGGAGCAGACGGCTCAGCACGCTGGCAGGCGGGGAGCGGGTGCCCCCGCGGCCACCATTGCTTCCTTCCTTCCCGCTGGCGGGACTGACGGGCTCTGGTTTGCATCCCCAGACTGGTTCGGCGTGGTGCTGCAGCTGAAGTCGCGGGAGACGAGGAGGACGTTTGTCAGCACGGAGTTCAAGTTCTACAACTGCAGTGCCCACCAGCTGTGAGTGCTCCCTCCCCATCCCTGAGCCAAACACCAGCTAAAATGAGAAAGGGCTGGGCGATGGATGCTGGGCTCCGGGACCAGCCGGGGGGGGGAGCAGGGTGCGTGGTTCAGCCAGCAGACACGGGCTGTGGAAGGGGAGCCCACCAGCCCCTGTCTGCTCTGAATTTCGCTGGGGGTGTGTGTAGCTTTTCCTGCCTTGTGAGACGCAGGCGGGGTGAGCCTGAAAAAAGCTTAACCTGCTGGTGCCCCCAAGCTGCGTGATCCTGCAACTGTGAACTGGGATGCATCTTCCCAGGCAGCTGGGGAGGGCAGAGCAGAGGGTCCGGGGAGGGGGCTCCAGGGTCCGGGGAGGGGGCTGAAGGCTCCGGAGGTGGCAGAGCCCTTCCACATTGCACCAGCCAGGAGAGCAGGGTGCTGACTGCTGCGAGGGGGCTCCACGGGGTGACAGGGGAGGGCATGGCCACCGGAGCAGGCGGTGGCAGGGACTGAGCTGGATGTCTCCAGCCCTGGGGTCTGAGGACAGCGGTTGGGGTTTAGATGGGGTCAGTGAGAGCAGCAGGAGCTCCCTGCAGCCTCCTGCCCCCAGAGCCGGGCAGAGCAGCCCAGGGAGCCTGGTGCAGCAGCCCAGGCGTGCGGGAGGTTGGGCTGAGCATCAGTGGGGCTGAGCATCATGGAAACGTGTCCCCCACGGGTACATCTGCTGCTGAGAGGCAGCACGCAGCCGGCCGGCCGTGAAAGCACGTTTGCAGACCTGAAGCATTTATAGATTTCTCTCTGGAAACAGAGCGAGCCCCAAAGCACCCAAACGAAATGTGGGCAGGACCGGCCAGAAGTCGGATAGCAAAAGGCAGGCCTGACCTGCGGGGTTGGGTGGCATCTCCAGCAGTGGGGTCAGCTGCCAGCTCTGCGCCGGGAGCGGGATTTGCAGCTCGAGCTGGCTCCTGGGGGTCAGGAGACTCCAGCACAGGGCACTCCCGATCGTTCCGCACTGGATTTGAAGCCTCAAGCTATGGGGTCTTCTCTGTGTGCGCTGATGGGCTCGGCTGGCCTGCTGTTTTTCTAGGCATGCATTCAATTTATTTTTAATTTTGTTTTGAGGCATAGCACAAAGCAGAGGTGCCAGGATGAAAGGAGCCCTGTGAGTCCTTCAGTCCCTCCGTGCTGCCTCTCACGGTGGGCTGTGTCCATTACCCCAACGATCCTTGCCTCCTGTCGTGTTACCCCTCGTCCACAGCTCCGTCCTTACGTCCTTGTCCCTCAGTCAGGCTGTACAGCGCCAGCCTCTCCTCCAGCTGCAAGCACTTGCAGTCCTTCCAGTGGTTCCTCTGCGTTCTCGTGTTTTTGCATTTGCATGAGGGGTGGCATCCCAGGGACCCCTATTTTCACTTTGGGGCGGAGGTTTGAATCAGGAGAGGCAGTGCATCTTCTCTGGCCCGTCGGCTGGCTTCATCTGACCATGCCTCTCTACCAGCTTCTCTTTGGAGACAAAGTGCTAACGCGCTGGTAAATTCTGCAGCACTTACATCATTCCGGACACATTATCAGTGAGTTCAAGAAGGGCAGGAGCCCGCCTGGCAGGAATGAATCACAGCATGCAAAAAGGAGAAAGGGATACAGGTCTCAGCCAGCAGAGAAGAGAGACCTATTGATCCTGAGACTTCATTGCAAGGGCCAGGGTGTCAAGAGAGAGCAGGGGAGCAGCCGTGCCCTTTCTGGCTGCAAGGAAGCAGAAGTGGGGTTGTGGTGCATGAAGCACGTACCCCTGGGGAGCTGGCCTGAGGCTAAGAGGGGCAGGAGGGGTTTGGGGCTGGACAGGAATGTGCTGCTCGTGCAGACTGGTTCTGTGAAACCTCCCATGCTGGATCCAGCTGGTGTGAACCCATGGGCTGAGATGGTTCAGCACCGAGGTGTGTGAATTCCTGTCCCCCGAGGGAGCTGCGGGTGGGTCAGGGAAGGCGGTGGTGGCTTCTGTGTTAAGTCTCTTTTCATGAGGAACAGATGAGGTGGAGAGATGCACTTTCTGAAGCAAGAGAGAGACTTAAGTGGTCCTTAAGAAAGCTGGATCAGGATGAAAGAGCAAAGGTGGTGACCTGTGGCACCCAGTTCCTGGAGTTGGGAAAGCCGGAGGCCAGGGCCAGGCCAGGTGAGGGTGGGTGGGAGAAGTGCTGCAGACTGAAATGGAGACGGAAATGGATCAAACAAATGAGTCATTAAATAAGCTTGTAGTATTTGATATTCTTCCCCAGATTTGCATACGCATGATTAGAATAAGCTTCCGTAGCTATTAAGGTCACTACGAATGCATCAGAAGGGAAATACAATTGAGTTATTAAAGCACGCGCTCTCGTGGCAGCAGCCTGCCCAGAGGCTTTGCCCTGGCACCCCTGTCCCGCTGGCGAGACGGGCCCTGCCCCCAAACCTGCTTTCCTCATTTCCCAATTTCCTACCTAAGGCCATGCTCCTGCTTCCCTGGTGATGCTCTTCTGTTTGCACCAACCCCGGGCTCGCTCCGGCGCATCCCTGCCCCGGGCACTGCCCGCTCCAGGCAGCATCCCGGTCTCTGGAGCCACAGGTTGTGATGTGGGGCTGGATCCCACGGGCACAGCTTATACTTAGGCCAGCAGACAGTTGCCAAAACACTGCCACGTGGCACGGAGGGTTGGCCTCAGAGATGGAGGAGGTGGCTAGTGCGAATATTAGCAGCTGCCATGGACCATGCACCAAACGGGAAGCCAGTGAGTGTGGAATAAAAACCACCCACCCAGTTCGCTGGCAGCTGGGCCACCCCACGTCTGCAGAGGGTCTGCGTTCTTTCAAAACCATTTCACAAACGCTCCATTCCTCCCAACACGGACCAAAAGCGCTTGCTGGACTCTTTGCACCCCAAGGCCAAGCAGAAGCGTTACCGTTGACTTGAAGTATTCCTGCTTGTAAAACAACTGATCTAATTCTTCCAGGTTTGCCTTGTTTTCCACTTTCTGGGAACTAAAAATCAAGTCTGGTGTCTGTGCAAGATTGTGCTTTATTTTACGCCAGTGCAATGATATGCGATAAATCCCAGCTTGTATTTTATTACTGAACAAATTGTGAGGTTGCTTAAAGATTGTCATTTGAGTGCGTGTTTTCCCAAACCTGTTTGTAATTTGTGTGGTGGTGTCAAAACATCCCTCCAAAGAAATTATTTTCCCATGAAGGACCCTGAGCCTGGACTTCTGCCTAGGCCTGTCCCTCACTGTATAGACCTCCCAAGGTGATGACCTCCTCCGTAACTCCTCCTTTCCCCCCCCAGGTGCCTGTCTTGTGTGAACAGCGCTTTCCGCTGCCACTGGTGCAAGTACCGGAACCTCTGCACCCACGACCCCACCACGTGCTCCTTTCAGGAGGGACGGATCAACGTCTCTGAGGTACCAGCCCGCGGTTTCAGTACTCTGAGCTCTTTCTTCTTAGCTTTCCTATGGCACAATTAGCATAGCTAATGCATACGTGAGGTTTTTCAACTTCCCATGGGTCGGGGCTCCTCTCTTGGCTGGCATCGAAAAGTGGAGATACAGCTTTAAAGCAGCATAGCAAGAAACCACCAGTTTAGCAAAAACGATGTGTCTTGACCTGAACGCCAGAGCTGAGCCCACCTCCGCTGTGTGGGTACGCTCGGGTTCAGTAATAACTGTAATTGGCGTAGTGCTTTCCTTCGGGGGTCTCAAAGACTTCTCAAAGACCAGCAGCAACGCCGCTTTACGTACGAGGCGTGCAGGGGTTTGCCCGACAGCAAGCAGCAAGTCAGGTGCAGAGCTCTTGGTGGGTCTCGTTCAGTGGGTTGTGTTGGCAGCTCTGAAGTTCATGGCAGGAGCCTGACTGTAAACTGATTAAGAAGGGAATTACAGAGGTGAACAGCCCCAGACTTTGGAAAGGAGAATTGATTCGGGTTCCAGCGCTGTGGACCAGGAGCCATCTCTCTTAGCAGTTAATAAAAGATGTGGGGCTCAAGTCCAAAAATGCTTTTAACAGTTTGAAGGAGGCATAGCCCATTAACGGCTCTGCCAAGTCTTCTGTGTGTCCTGAGGGGGAGATCCATGGAGGAAAGGAGTTTGTTAGCACAAATTTCTGATCAGAGGTTACCCCCAACCCCTCGGTCTGGGGTTTCTGCACCCGCTGTCGTGTCTGATTCCCACGCTCCTGTCTGCTTCAGGTTCACCAAGTGCAGAGCAGATACAGCCCCTGATGCTGGTAGGGTCCTGGTCTTCGCCCCCACTGCCCCTACACGTAGCTCTGTGGCACCTGAAATGGGTGCGGGTGCTAAAGCTGAAAGGGGAAAGGAGGCTTTAAAGGGTGCTTGAAAATCCTGAGTGTCATGGAAAGTGGGAAAGGCAGCAGTGAGGACATAACCAAATATTAGAAAAAGAAGGGAGAGTAAGATTAGCCAGCATCGAGACAAACCCTTCAGTGGGAGCAGATCAGTCAGCAGAGAAAAACACCGAGATGCTAAAAAGAAGTGACTGAAGCTGCCAGGCTGTTGCTAAACCAATAATAAACTTGAAACTTAAACAACTCCTGGCTCTTGCTGGTTAAAATGCTGCCAGGAGGCACACAGACACAAGATGAGGAATGTTAACGAACTGCACGTGTACAGACCCCAGTGGGAATCTGCGAGAGCTGCGGGATGGGCAGCGAAACTTGGGGCCGGCGCTGCCGCCTGCAAGGGACCTGGGAGAGCTGCCCCATGGAGCAAAAGGAACGGATGCCCAAGGAGCAGCAGCCACCCTGGGGACAACCCAAAAGCTTTCTCAGTCCAGTTCAAAGTCAAGAAACTTCCTTTCAACGTAACAAGAGAAAGCAAAACCCTTCGCTTTTCCTCCTCGCGAGTGATGTAGGGGTTTTTCTCCTTCACGCTCAGAGCATTGCTGTCTTCCCAGGCTTTACAGCTGTAGTTCTCAGCTTTATAGGTCTTCAACCCCATGATCTCAGAAGTGTTTGACAAGACTCCACTAAAGTAGGACAATCCCATTATCTCCGTTTTTCTCCTGGGAACGCGCAGGACTTGCCTGAGATCACACAGGGGGAGCAAGTGGAGGAGTTGGTATCTCTGCCAGTTCCTGCTGGGATCACAGGACTGTCGCGTCTCCAAAGAACTTCCTCCGTCGTCTTCATCTTGTAGAGGTGGTTTCTTACCAGGGGATGGTATGTGATATCTTACCCTTTCCTGGTGATAACATTTGATAAGGGCTGATGATAACGATGCAGATGCTCCACCGCTCATCACGACTTCTCCAGACCTCTGAACACCCAGGCAAAACCAGCCACCAAAACCTCATTTGTTTGCTTATTTAAGGCAAATGAATCGCCGCCTGCGTACACAGTGCAGTGCTCATCCCCTTATTAGGGGCGTTTCGCTCCGGCTAACGCAAGGCATGAAATAAACGCCTCGGAAGGCATTTCCTCTCTTCAAACGATTCCGATCACAATGTTCTCATTGTGTCATGGCCTGATGTATTAGCAAAGCGCCCGCGCTTACCCACGTCGCTCCCCTCCTGGCAGAGCGTCGGTTGTGCGTGGCGCTGGAGCGGGGCTGCGGTGGTGACGGTGCCAGTGGCTCCGCCGCGGAGGGAGCAGCGCCGGCACGTGCTGCCCTACTTTCAGTCCCCGTGTGCCACTTCTCGCGTAAGATTTGCACACGTGTTCGCACGGGGTTGGAAATTTTCTCGTGCCTTTATATTTAATTTAAGAGAAAATAGCTTGAATATTCCCTTTTACTCCTGGCCCCTCAGAATTTGTGCCCAGTGGGATTCGACGTGTAACGAGCTCCCTTTGATGCTCCCAGGAGTCGTCTGTCTTGAGAAGGGAAAAGAGCTCAAAGCCTCAGCCACCTTACAAGGTGATGGGGGAAAGCAAGCCCTTCTTCACGAGCTGTGCGCTTGCTCCTTGCAATCTTCTGGCTGCATTGGCCAAGCTAAGTGCTGCCTTTTTGCCCTGCTTCCCATGAAAATACAGCCGAGGGAACAAGCTTTTTCTGCCTCTCCGCCTGCCCTGCCAACAGGAGTTGCTTACTGACATCTCTGGGCAGAGCTCCACGGTGGACACAGGTGATGCAGACGATGGACAGCCTCCGGAGATGGGCTGGTCCTTGGCCAGGGGTAGCGAGCGGCACGTGAAGCCACCGGTAAGAGAAATGATGCAACCTTGAGTGTCAGATCTCAGTTTCGCACCGTGCTGTTGTGTTTGCAAAAGTGGGAATGTGCGAAGCGTGTTTGGTTTGGAGTTGTTGGTAGGTAAATACTGAACCCTTCACTGCCCTTAAAGCAAAGACGTCTTCCAGGACAGAGCTGGCTGCTCTTGATATCCTCCATCTGGTGGAAGTTCATGATGTGGGGTAAACCCAGCTCTTTGGAGGCCTCTGTTTCCAGGTGGCCGGTTCTCTAGAAGTTAATTAGATAAACAACTCTATTTTCTCAGCCTTTTCTTAGCCTGAGGCTTCATTTGTATGCAGAAGGTGCCTGCTCAGACATGGCTATCCAAAGGGCGATGGGAAGGCAAAGGTCTGGGGCTGGCTTGCACCCACAAAAGCAGGGTTTCTCCAAGAAGAGGCCTCATGGGTGTGTAGCGCTGATCCTCTCACTTTACAAAGCTTCAGATCAGGCCTGTGATACCATTTTAATGCGTCTGAGGCAGCTGGGTTTGTGTGTGTGCGAGGCTATAAGAGGTCTCCCTCCAAATGTGTAAAACGTGCAGGTGAAGAGGGGTGTAGATACATAAATATATCCCTACACCCCATCCCAACGGAGAGCTAGAGCCAAATAAATCCTATTAGTTTCTCAGAATGTGGGCTCCTGTCCCTCTTTGATGTCCCCTGGGTGCAGATAATGCCATTTCCACATGTGAGATGCTGAATCAGGGCTGAAGCGTTTCGGATCCTGGGAGTTTAGTGCAGAGCCAGATTTTGGCTCTGGTCTGACTCCTTTAAACTCTCACTGCTCTCAGAGCAACACCCGTGCCCTGGGCTGCTGAGTGCTCCTTGATGTGCCTCCAAGGAAATCAAACAAAATCAAACCTCCCCCATATCTCTCCTTACAATCCCCACCTCTGAATACCTGAGTGGGAGCTCGGATGTGTGGGAGATAACACAGAGCCACATCTAAGTCATAGAATCGTCTAGGTTGGAAAAGACCTTTAAGATCATGAAGTCCAACCGTTAACCTAGCACTGCCATCCCACCTCTAAATCATGTCCCTAAGCACCTCATCTCCCCTTCTTTTAAATACCCCCAGGGATGGGGACTCGACCACCGAAGTTGGCAAAGTGGGTCACAGCCAACTTCTGGAGAGCTGTATTTGTCTGAAAAAGTACCGGTCGTAACAAAAAGCCCAGTTGTGGGAAGATTAACTCGTCTCCATTTGAGAAGATTGCTTTGAGCTTATTGGCAACGCTTTTTTCATCAGTAGATTTATGGGGTGTATAAATTGCAGTGTTCGGTGTGCGGAGGGGGAAGGGGCCAGGCTGGAAAGTGCTCCACAGGGCTGGGAGCACCGCAGGGAGCTGCAGGGAGATGTTCCCACCTGGAATCTGGCCGCGTTCAAGGGAATTTGAACCTCCTACCCTCACCTCTTGTATGCAGGGGGTTGTTTATGGGTGAGAAACAGGCTCCCGCGTTTTGCCTGGCTGTAAATATCGCAGCACTTCATAACTGAATGGCGAAGGCCTGGGTTACGGCACGCACGTACAGCGCGGCGCTCAGGACAAAAGGGCACTGGGTAGGAATTCGCCAGTGAGAAAAGTCTCGCTTGGGTTGCCTTTCTTCCCATGTTTGGTTTCTAAGGAGCAAGGTCTGCTCTCCTTTCCAGTAGCGTGAATGAAGAATAATGTGTTTCCATGAGTGACGGGCACCGTAATTTATATCATTGGGAACACAACTGTGAGCCAGGGGTTTGCATTCACGTGCCAGATTCGTTTATATTTATAACTTTAAAATGTGTGTAGCAAGTTAACATTTGTGGAGGGTTTTTTTTTAAGATGAAAGTCTGAAAACGTCGTATTTTCTTCCATTTGAGCTAAATCCCCTAGTCAAAAGAAATGCCCGCCATTTCTAGGCATTTTTTTTTCCAAATAAGAGCAGGATTTGACCTACTAAAACTGCTCTGTTAAACACAAATAATAACCATGGGTGCTCTGTTCTATTCCAGAGGCAGATGCGTATCGTGGGGCTTTAAGGTATTTATAGACCTTGGAGTCTTTGAGGCTAAAAAGTGTTGGAGAAGCATAAAACGTCTTTGTAAATTGTACGTGATGATACTTCATAGGCAGAACGTTCCCCGAGAGCCTGTGCCACTCGCGCTTCCGAGCCTTGTCTTTCTCCAGCAGATCTTGGGCTTTGTGTTTATCCTGGTGTACGGGAGTCAGGAAGGATAATGAGAGGATTCCGCGTCTGTTTGTTTAGCGAGAGGAGGCAATAACGGCCTTTCTAACCCACTGCAGGGTTTACTTCTCATGAATTAAAAAAGAAAGTAAACTGATTATGGAACAAATGGCGTATTCCGCTGGCTGCAGTTTTCCCTTTGGTTCCGCGCTTTCCGGATGCTCAGCTCTTCCTGGCACGAGCACGGGGAAGCGCAGAATCGAGCACCCAGACCTGAGCCCTGTGTACCAGGGGTGCTCTTGTTATAGAATCATAGCATCATCTAGGTTGGAAAAGACCGTTAAGATCATCAAGTCCAACCGTTAACCTACCCCTGCCATCCCACCACTAAACCCTGGCCCTAAGCACCTCATCTACCCTTCTTTTAAATCCCTCCAGGGATGGGGACTCGACCACCTCCCTGGGCAGCCCCTTCCAGAGCCTGACAGCCCTTTGGGGAAGAAATTTTTCCTAATGTCCAACCTAAACCTGCCCTGGCACAACTTCAGACCATTATTTACCACCACAGAGGGACCTTTGCTGCAGCCACGCGGCTCCCATCCCACCAGCAGGACTGGTGCTGCCAACCGCTTCCCAGTCCAGCACCACGTTCCTATAAAGTGAATAAACGCCGACGGAGACATCGCTAAAGCTGGCACTATGCCTCTAACAAAGTTATTTATGTTAGGGCTGGCTTTTAGAACAGGTAGCGCACAGAAGAGGTGGTGAATGGGCAAACCAGCCTGCCAGGTGAGCTTTTGGGCGGCATCACCCCCCTTTTGGGCGGCAGGCTGGTGCATGTGGGGATGCTCAGGTACCTCGCTGCGGCAGCAAGTTAAAAAAACAGCCTAAAAAAAGACCTGAAAGCTGAACAGTGAGCCTGGATGGGAAATGGCAGGGACAGGGAAGAGTTCCCCCCCCTCCCCCCTAGCAGCGTTTCCGCAAGGCGTGCGGCGTCCGAGCCAGCCC